CGGAGTTGAGCCGCCTGCAACTAGTCTTCTTATTTTGGTTCTAATGATAGTCACTTCTCTGTCCGTTTAGCTTACTGTCTCTCTCTCGCATTGAGACCAAAAACAAATATGCTCATCAACAAAACCATACGTGTAGGACCTTGAGCAATCGGAGTGATGGTTATAACTTAAATGTAAAAAGGGGGAGATAGGGGTCATCAAACCTTGATGGCCAAAAACAGACGTTCCTTTTTGCTGTCCTATTACTTATGAACCATCACTTCGGGCTTCGTGCATAAGCGAACACAAACATGCACATACAAATAAAAAGGCAGACACTCATACGCATAGAAATTGACATATGACCTTAACTAACCAAATCACTTTATCCTTGATCAACGAGGCCACATGTAGAGTATATATACCACTTTTTAAAGATTTGCCGGAGAGTTTTCTTGACTCGTTAGCTTGAATTTTGTTGTGACGATGTTACCTCGCTCTGGTGATGTCCGTCATATGATGGATGAAAGCTTAGTACCTTTTCACCGGAATCGAAGGAGATTGCCTCGGAAACGGCGTCAGCATGAATCTTCCAGTTAAGCCAATCGACAGCTGGTCAAGAGAAATCCGCCGTCGTCTTCTGGTAGAACCGACCTTAGTATCTCTTCACTCATCACTTCCACTCGAAATGGAAGTAAGCTCAACAATTAATTTATCTAACTTCACATGGGTATGTCAATTCTAATCCAATATTGTTTACAGCCTATTTGTCACGGTCAACACATTCTAAGAATCGCTCACTTTGTTTTCGTAATTAGCATCTGGACGCTACAGGGATATTGAAGTTCTCATTCTCTCATATTATAAAAGTGTAATCTTATTTGTGAAATCCGTTTCTCTAGAGATCTTTTGCAAGCTCTAAGAAGGGGGCTGCAGAATCACGCCAGTGTCGATTATTATTTTCAGTCATGACCTCGCATCATCAGCCTCCATTGTCGACTGGTAATATTTCTTTTGATAGAGAGGATTAAAGTATGGTTGGGTATTCTGACAAGCATTTCACTCGGTTGTCTAGCTTCATCTATCGTGCTTCAATTTCTGCATGGTTTGGCTTTTATCGCTCCATGCATTTACGCGTCTTAATGTATTTTTATAAATGCTTTGATGATTTATGTTTATTATCTATACCTAGGCTGGATAGTCCAGCCTTTGAGTTATATTTCACTATTTTTTCGTTGTATTGATAATTTTTCTTCTCATTTTGTCATAACATGCATGTAAGTGGAATTCTTAAATTACACGGTTTATGGCCTGGTTTGTCTTTGTATAATAAGCATTTTTGTTATAAAGGTGTACAAAATCCTGATAGATTAACAATTTAATAAGGACGCAACTGTTCCGTTTTTCATTTTTCGGCACTAATTATAGATACCTGTTGTGGCAACTTAATTCGATTGCTGTTATTGTCTAAATAGACTTTTTATGAATCCTTTATTAAACCTTATCAACTCTGTTAAATCTTCGTAACCGTGATATTTTGCTTGTTTCGTTTTTCATTTATTTCATAGGCCAGCGTCTCGACTGATGAAGAGGATGAAAATAATGACATAAAATCGGATACAAATGACGATGAAATTGACGATCTCGATCTACTTATGTGGACTAAATTTAGTGATGAAGAAGAGGAATGTGAGGAAAAAGTAGGAATGATTAAGTCAAATTCACCTTCGGTTTCCTCTAAACAACCAAAGAAATCTAGACTTGTCCGTCCGCAAAACAGGATTAAATCTCGATCAACAGCAAGAAAATGTAAAATAAGACCCAAGTGACATTCTAAAACAGTATTTCTCTATCCTATATGTGTTCTTTCACAATACAAATTTATATTTGTTTATTTAGTTGAAGGCACAAGGCAAAGTAAAAAGTTTAATGGCTGCAGCTTAAAAAAATATATACCTTATGAGTGAGCGAAATATCTTTCTGTTAGCTCCAGGAGATGCAAGGGAGGGCTTGAGAAAATGATATGAGAGGTGATGAGAAAATGGATCTAGATAAGCCCCGTAGTGACCCAGTGGGGTGGCAAGCGCGATCTGACAATCGCTTAGATAAAGGTTTCTGGCTCAAGGAGTCAGCAGCGACAGAGTCATCCCTCTGAACCAGAATTCCATCAAATAAACAAGGCAAATATGAGGAATGAAAGAACATTTACTAACCTTCCCTAGAAGCCTTAAATGATAGACGAATAGAACCGGATGTGGTATTTTTGAAAAGTGATGCATCGTGGGCCAGATGGTGATATACTGAAGTGATCCCCAGGCACAACCACAAATAATAGGACTAACAAATCTGATATAAGGCAAGTAGATTCTCTAGTCAACAATTGGGAAGCAATTTGCTTAAGGGTTGCCTTGATCATGCATGAAATGGGATAAGGCGTATATAAGTGTGTTGATATGGAAGCCTGACTGTTTTGTGATGCCAAATGTATAAATAAGCGGGAGAATTTTGCGCAAAAACTGTTTTAGGTGACATTCAAGCTCATATATATAGATAGATCAACTCCATAGTTCCAAATTGCCATAAATGTATTTTTAAGGGCCTGCGTCACGCAATAAGTCAAAAGGACCCAACACCTAGTAAATAAGAGAATAACTTTTATCGAAGTAGATATAGAGAATAAGGATCTATTGTCCTGAATCACTAATACTGCCGAGCAAGAGTAAAGAAGTTTGATGACTGCATCTTAAAAAAATAGATACTTCATGAGTGAGAGAAGTATCGTTGTGTTAGCTCCAGGAGATGCGAGAGAAGGCTTAAGAAAATGATATGAGATGTGATGAGAAAATGGATTTAG